GCTAGCTAGTGAAGAGTATGTGCTACATGAAGCATATTTGGATAAAACACCTTCAAGTTATTTCTTGCCATCAACATTAGTGATGTGCCAGATATCCATATATGTATCCGTGGATATCTGAGGGAAAAAAAAAATCCGTATTCGTATCCGTATCCGTTACTTCTTAGGCGGATCTTTAACGGATCTTTTATCTTAATGAATTTCATTACTTATATGAAATTTTTAAGATAGGTAGCAATAAAATACTAATAACTTCAATTCAAATCACTTTTTATTTCTTAAAATCGCATATCTGGCACATTCACATTGCAAAAATTTTATCATGCAAAATTCATTTACTATCATAAAATATTTCCATATTACTCTATTAAACTTTTTTGTCGACATTGGTTTTATTTTAATTTAACTCAACACTCTCCAAAAATACAAACGTAATCTACGCTATTCCGTGTCACACTAAACTATAAACAAAAACATGTGCAGTGCAAGTCAAAACACGTCGCATTACTAACACAAAGTGTCAACTATCAGTCCAAGGTCACATGCACCGGTGCCAACTGAGTACGAAAGTTGAGATCCATATCCGTGGATCTAGATACTAATGATCTGTATCTGTATCCGCGGATATACATTTTTAATGATCCGGCACATCACTAATCAACATGCATGGAGCAGCTACGGTTGCCACATGTCCTACTTTCTATAGAACAGTCCTACATCCTACATGAAAGCTTAATTGTTTTACTTTACATTTATAAACAAAAAAAACTTTGTTTAAAAAGTAAGTCATTTTAAAAATTAGAGAGACACAACAAACATTCAGTTAATTTCTGAATGCACATACAGCATTTTGTAAACACAATACAAATCTTCATTGATAACAATATAAATTTCATCCAATAACAAAAAGTTTCATTTTATTACGAACTTCCATTTTTGGCCAAAGTGGGAAGTGCAATAATTGTCATTGGGTTTCATTGAACTTATCAAAGCAGAATTGCCTATAAGTATTAATTGTAAAAGCAGTTGCATACAATTTTTTGAAAAAGTACAGAATGAAATCCACAATGATAAAAAAACTTATGAAATATCACCTCATGGACATCTGGCTCCACATTATTATCTGTATAAAATGCTTATTTCGTATAGTCAATCGTTTAAATTTACCACAAAAAACATTTTTGTCTTTTATTAGGACAGCTTCAGCTTCCTGATATTCATCAGGAAATTGAAGATGTGACTTCAGCCATCTTGATGCCACTAAAGGAAAATTTTATGGAACTATCATAAAATCTGCTATGATTTGTAATTCTGAGTGCAAGTTGTTATTTATATATAATGCAGAAAAAATATTCATCAGGAAGCTGAAGCTGTCCTTGAATTTAAATGAGTGGCTACCTGAAATAAGCATTTAATATAGATTTCAAAACTTCTAAACATGATTCATGAGAAATTTTACCTTTTGAACAATCTCTGATTAAAATAACTTTTTAATATAAATAACATATCAAGATGATCTGCAATTTCCACATTCAGTCATAGTCTCAATATTTCTGTAGTTGTAACTACACTATCTTTGACTTATAATAATGGATCCAGATGGAGGTAATCACTCCTCCTACACTTTTTATTCTAACATAAAATTCATTATTTTTTTAAATAATAAGTTTATATTTATCATTATATTTTAATATTTTTGTCACTATATTTCAATTTTGTTACATTTAATTATTTTAAGTACTGCAATTTTATGCAGTATAACCTGCAGACTATTTGTGTTTTAAAGTCAATTTGAAAGCATGTATGGATTATGCAATGATGTGGACTATCTGCCAATTTTAACTCATAATTATGAATTCATCAAACTGTTCTTTCTTTGTCTAAATTTACCAAGAACATCTTTAAAAATCATGGAAAATATTTTATATGCTGTAAACATTTATCTGTTATTACAATTTTTCCTGAATGAACTATCAAGACACATACAAACATACATCATATTTAATTTATATGTCTGTGTCCTTATGCATTTTTGTTTGTAAAATGTCTACTAGGACTTATTAATAGGATATATTATACCGGTGGCCTGGTTCTGCAAATTTAAGAAAACAGTCTTTATTTTTCTGATTAGTTTTCTTAAATTTGCAGAACTAGGTCACTGGTATAATATGTCCTATTAATAAGTCATAGTAGAAATTTTACATACAAAAATGCATCATATTTAGTTCTTGCCCATTCATTTTCTGGGCACCAATCCATGCTGTAATTAATATTATTACACATTTCTTCTTGAACTTCTTGATCTTAAAACGTGATAAGTTTCCAATAATTTTTCCCCTTTCTTAATAATAACTTTCGAAACCTTATTTAGAAGCTGAGTAGTTGACTTTTAACTTGTCAATGAATGTTATTGACATTAGAATTTTAACTATTTAATTTTTTCAAATTTATTTTGGAATTTACTATTATTATACAAGGTGATCTGTTTTGATAGAAATAATTTGAAAGCTGTATCATAATAAACACATCAGTTGTATGAAGTTCAAATTCTGTTACAATGGCAAGGTAGGGTGGGAGTTTCATTGGATACCTTCAAGTGACAAAAGTGCACTGACCAGGGAACAACATGCTATGTTCTTTGGTATGCAAGATTTAGGAGTATGATGACTGTTAAACATAACCTTTATCATGTTTATGGTGTCAGACTGTATAAGTATGTACCCAAGTATGATTGTATAGCATGTTGGCATTGCATAAAGTCTGACCAAATGTCTTGAATTAAGCAGATAGCCTAACTTTTCAATATGCTGTTCTGATTTTAAAACTCTCCCAAAAACTGATCTGATTTCTAAAACTGTAAAAAATGTCCACTTTTTGACTGTTTCATAATTATATTCAAAAATATCCAATATTCATTGCATACAAATTATAGTATCAAAATTTTAATATCAAATTTATAGAAACGGTATCCCAATTGAAAATTGAGTTTGGCAAGGTGTCAAACTGGGTAATTTGCCAGAGAATAGTAAATGTATACAGTACTGTACCAAATATCCAGCAAGCTTAGGACTAGAAGAGGTCTAAACTTCTGGATTTTCTGATTTTTCTGGACACAGGCTAACTATCTACTTAAAATACAAAATAAACAATGGAAAGTAAAGAACAAAACTGTTTTAACACACCATATGTCATCAATTATAATGGAACTGACAACATACAAGGCTTATGCCATGGAAAAACAAAACAAAAAGGCTACATAGCAACTATAACTATACTACTAAATTCAAAAGTAGCCAATATTCTGGTAATTTCAGATTTCTGGAAGCTAGATATTTGATTTGGCACTATACCAAAGTACAGTGGTGTTGCAGATCAGTTATTAAAGGTAGTTAATTGTTTTCACTAATTATCTGAGTTAAAACTATGGCACTTAAAGCAAAGCTTTAAAATGTCATTTTTTAACCAAGATAATTAGCAAAAACTCAGAGCCATACTTAACTATTCATTGTTGCTATCACTGTAGATTGTTTGACAAAAAATTGAAAGTGTTTTGAGGGAGAAGCAGATTTTGACAGTATATTCTGATCAAACCCAATAAATACAGTTTAAAAATTTTTGTTAGTTGACTCTAACATTTTTTATTCCTATAACCTAAAAAATCTACTGTGGTAAATAGCCAACAGCCCGTATTCAGTTTCAGATTCTCTCAAGAAAGTAAAATATTTAATGAGACCAATTGCTAATTTGAGAAGAAATATATTACAATAGATATCTAGTTTACAAGTTGCAAACTAACAATAGATTTACTAAAAGATAAGACTAACAGCACAAAACCTTTCTCACTAATTTCTAGCCTTATTAACTGGAGTACAAACGTTTTCGGCCTTCTTAATAGGCCTTCCTCGGGTACACTGTGGAGCGTCGGTCGACGCTCCACAGTGTACCCGAGGAAGGCCTATTAAGAAGGCCGAAAACGTTTGTACTCCAGTTAATAAGGCTAGAAATTAGTGAGAAAGGTTTTGTGCTGTTAGTCTTAGAAATAGTTCTAGCTACATATGCATAGTACTAAAAGATAGACTGACAATAGTGGGCACCATTCAAAAAAATAAAAGAGAGATTCTGCTTGAATTTGTATAGTCAACAGGTAGGAGAATATGTAGCAGAAAATTTGGTTTTAAAAAAAAGATCTCATCTTAGCTTTGTATATTCCAAAAAAAGGAAAAACCACATTTCTTTCATTGTCTTTCCATTGTACCTCTACCACCAATGTGAAAATGCATCATGCAGAGAAGCCCAAAATTATAGCTTTTATAATTCTACAAAAGGAGGAGTTGGCATGCTTGATCACTTAACAGGGACTTACAATTGTGCACAAAACACAAGGTGGCCAATAATTTTATATTGTTTACTGAACATAGCAGGTATAAATTCCCACATTATTCATTATTCAAATGGTAATATATGAAAATTGAAAAGCAGGAGAGAATATATAAAAGAGCTGGTAGTAGATTTGCTGTATGAGTTATGGTCACTCAGAAAAAAAAAACAATTCTATATCTTTTATTTATTTATCATCATATGTTTACAATTTAATTCATATTTTTATTGAAACATAGAAAAACTGAGAATGTGAAAGATATTCAGAAACTTTTATTTGTTTTATTAATATTTAAATTATTATTGCAAAGAAATGAATTGTAAAGCCAAACAACTACCAGATTACATCAGGCCAATTTGGTGATGGTTTGGCTTTACAAATTTATCAAGTTTTATGATGTTTGTTTATGTAAGAAATGAATTGTTCTTTAAACTTTTTTATGAGTAACAATCTGTTTATTAATGAATTATTATTCCTGAATAACTACATATCAATTTAAACTTGTTCATGAATATAGTCATTCAAACTTAAACAATCCCATTTTATTCTGCTCCGTAAAAGAATAAATTCTCAAATTATAATAAAGAAACATATTACAAATGCATTAATTTTTAGCACTGACCTTTTCACACTGTAAAATACACCATCCCTCATATGTGAGCTGAATTGTATCTTCTTTTGTTTGATCAACCTGTAAAACAAATATTGGTTTTAAATCTTATAAAGTTTACATCTTAAATAATATGAACATAAAACACATAAACAATGTTAATTAATGTTAAGTATAGGTACTCCTGTACACTTTCAAATCCCAATAGTAAAGCATGTTTTGAGTTTTGAAATGTTAGTACAGCTTCTTTCTATATTCTGACTTTTGTATTATAGTAACAATAGTATTAATTAATTTTTAAAGCAAATTAAAAATAAAAAGTAAGTGATTCTATTAAATTTTATTACTCATATTCATATTTATTAATTTTCTAAATTTTTGAATAAGATGGAATGAAAAACCATCGAAATAAGTAAAATTTATCACAATTGAAATTTCCTGTTAATTTCTTCAAATTCTCAAGAAAGTCATCTTGAAATGTCTTTTCTTGAGAAATAAAAAGTAACAAGTAAGCAGAAATACTAATGTTAATTATTAAATAATGATAAACATATTATATTTTATTACTTTTTGAGATAACTTACCCTAAATTCAATGACATGTCCAGCAAATGTTCCAAAGAACCTAAGATAATGAGGATTACTAAAAAATACCTGAAATATCAATAAATAATTAAGTATAACTTTTGCTACAATTTTTATATCTTAATAGTAATAAATTTTGATTTATTAAAAGTATATATGAAATTATAAGAATTTTGAAAACAAATTTCGTTTGTTCCCCAAATAATCAGTTATACAAGTCAGTATATACAAAATATTGCAAAATAATTTAATCGTGTTCTTATGTAATCTTATAAAAATTTTTTTAAATATCATTTGTACATTATTTATCACTGTAATGCTGTACTTTTAGAATGTGATGGCACAAACGTAATACATTTTGAAGTATTTTGTTAACTTATTAAGTGTGATTTTAGCTGACAAAAAATAAATAGTAGTATTGGCAATTGCCTTTGATTATTACCATCATAATATGACTGGGACAAACTCAATTTAAAACTGTATGTCCTACATTCCAAGTTTATGGCAAATGTCTCAAATTAGATTTTAATATTTTAATTATTCAGGCAGAAGTCCAAATTTAGTTAATTTCACCGACTTATCACACCTGACAGGGTAGTCGATGAAAAGGAATCAGAGACCAGGTAAAAATGTATATGCTTTATTAATATCAGAAATGCATTTCGAACACATGATCCCTCATCAGTCCAATCATCAAGTTTACCAACAATATCCATAAAATTAACATCAGTCAAAATAGTATAGTAAGTTGTTATTATTAAAAATAATATTTGTGTTGTTATTAAAATAACAACTTAAAATACTATTGTAACTGATGTTAATTTTATGGATAATGTTTAATACGTTCAAACAATACCTATAAGATTTGCATAGGAATGTATTCTTAACTTTTCTCATAATCATCATAAAATCTTTTGCCTAGAAAACTGTACATTTATCTATTTAATTTTCTAAAACCTTTTTTATATATAAGTACTGTAAGATTATCCAACAAGACAAAAGCCTTACCTTAGAAACAGCATGACATAAACCATTGATAAATAGGTAAAACCATAAAATTACCAAATATACATAGAATTTTAGTTAGAGGATTACAACAATAAATAATCCTCAGTGGGCTAATCAAATACTTAGCCGTAGGCAAGAATTAACAATGCTCACAAATATCCATCTGTTGTGTTCTAGCATCCTCTGGGGTTAATGTAGAGATATCATAATCTGGAAGTTAATAGCCCATGCTCTTATTCATTCTAAAATTTTGATGTAATTTAATAATTTTTATATGCTCATACCATTTTCTCTTTAAGATATTATTTTCATTTTTCATTATTTTTACCAATCTTTATTAATTTCACATCCATTATTATGACATTAATATGTTCTTTTAAATTAATTTTAAATTTATATTTTGTTTCTCCCATATAAATCTTGGGTTGCACACAACTACATTGGCACACAAATTTGAATGTAGTTGTGCACAATCCAATATCTATGTGGGAGAAACAAAATGTAAATTTAAAGTTTATTTTAAAAACATATTAATGACATAAAGTACAATAATGAAAATTATGCAATCTCAGTTCACTGTCACAATAATAGATGTGAAATTAATAAAGATTTGATAAAAATAATGAAAAAAGAAAATAATAGCTTAAACAGAATTATGCAACACACCAAACAACCAGCAAAATCAAAAATCCTTCACTTAAATAAACATTTTCAAGCATATACAATAGACATTATCAAGTATGATTAAAAGAATGTAGTATGAAAACATTAAAGTAAAAGCTGGAACAGAAAAGCAATTAGGCTTATTAGAAGATGTAAATACTCTCTGATCAATGTTTTAATTGCTTTGGAGAATCAAATTTATGTCTTTAATCCAGAGATTCTATTAGCTGTCAATGCTAACATGGTCCCATTGGAAGAATCTATTAAAAGAAGGCTTAGGAAGTTGCATGACAAGAAGATTGAATGATTGTTGGGTTTCCAGCCATGTGGTTGTAGACCAAGCACTAGTAAGGGTCTAATATCTTGGAATGGAATTCGACCCCTCCAGAATTCATTGATACAATAGTTCTTGGTCTGTCTTTTGCTCCTCCTCCACATCAAGACCCACAAAGGATAATTCCTGATGTTGAAAGACTAATTGAAAGTCTGGACAGCACACACAAAGAATACTTCCATTGGAAAATGATCTTTGGCATAAAAGATAACTCAACACTTCCTGCTTGTCCATCAGTATGGAAAAACATTAATGCAAGCAAGAGATGAATGAGGCTGAATATCATTGTAATGACTATAGCTGATAAGTCAAAGGATGTTGTCCTGTTTAAAGGTGTATTAAATATTCGGCTCTGATGTCACGCCAACAGTTAACTCAATCAAAAACGTACATATTTACGTTGAAAGCGCTTGCAAGATTGAAATATTTCAATTGTAAATTCGTCTCTGTAATCCAAAAACACACTTTGGTAGACGTATCTTACAGCAATATCTGGTTAGCAAATTATCTTTTATTTTTCATTGGACTACAAATATATAGATTTTGTTTAAACATTGTAAAATTATTTTGTAAAAGAACTTTTTCATTGTAAACCTGATACTGGTATAATTACAGTGACCATACGTCCTTTATTTAAGAGGACAGTCCTTTATTTCACTGCTCTGTCCTCTAACTTTATTTATTTTATAAAATAGGCATTTTGTCCTTTATTTTGTAAATTCAATGCAAAGTTTAAAAACTTTTTTAATAATATATTGAACAAGTTAGTTTCGTGTACGCCATCGCGATCAGTGTTGTCATCATGTCCATACGTTGCTACATAGAGCGCAGNTCCATATCAAATCCTGTTTTTGTGAGCTAAGGGACTTTCTTATCATTACTATCAAAGGCTTTACACAGCATATCCAACCTATCTTGAAGCTCTTATGCTTCATGTGCCACTCTTCCTTTTTTTACCTACATCCAGAGAAGGGGCATACCCATGGGTAGCCCACTATCAGGAACATTCTATGAATTGATAATCCAAAAGCTGAAAAAAGTGGTCCTATCTGTCTTTAATAGTGAAATTATACTGTATGCTAGATACAAATGGATGAAATGGAGACAAAAACTTGATGTTACAAACTTCCTACAAAGAGTTAATAGTAACCCCTATTACCTTTCCTTGAAAGTTGAGCAGGAGAGCTTCTCACAAGTGAATTTCCTGAATATAAGATCATGTAAAACCAAGGACAACTAATGAGTGTTCTGTAAGGGTTCATATAGCCTGATTTTCATCCAATCACACTCACATGACATCTTTACCTACAAGGTAGCATTTAGGATCCTGGTTGATAGTCTTCATGCAACTGCTAAACTGAAAGAAATAGGGAGGAGGAGCTCAGATATATCATGGAATTAGTTAAACAGCATGGCTACAAACCTAAACTAATTAAACAACTGCTTTCATACCACGACATAGTGGTCGAGTGATCACACTTTGATGACAGGTCTTTAGTAATGTTTGCCTACAGCAGCAATTCTCAACTGGGAGTACACGCTTGGTAGTTTAAGAGTACGTGGAAAAAAATTAACAATAGTAAATGCACTGTAAGAATATTTGGATTCTGTGTTGAGGTCTTCAGCAACATCATGACACTGAATGCTTAATTTTTAAATAAAAATATATATAATTGTGCAGTGCTGTATAATTGACTAAAGCACAACTGTTTGAAGAACATGTGAAATAAAACTTAGGAAAATGGGCTGCCAAGGGATACACAAGTCAAAAAAACGTTGGAAACTGCTGGCCTTCACTTAGTCAGGATTGCCTATAAAAAAAACTCCCATGATCTTGATGCTTAGAAATGAGAAGAACCAAACTGAAAAAAGCCTCCTACCAAGTGTATACAGCATATCTGTGCAAGACCATAGACAAGCACTGCTCTTTTGAACATGTAGGCACTACAGCTAGGTACCTAAAGGCAAGGATTAAAGAACATGATTACTACCAAAGTGTGTTTTTGGATTACAGAGACGAATTTACAATTGTAATATAATATACAGCAAGCCGTTTATATAATTGAAATATTTCTTTTAATTCTATTTAACGCCTCATAATCTGAAGTTTTTGATTGGGATGTTGTCCTAATGACTAGGGAGTCATACAGGAAAGGCATCCTCAACTTTATTTACAACTAGACACCCAATTGCTGTAAATAATAGGGCTATATTTTGGAAATATTAATTATGAATTACAAATAAATTTGGCACTACAGGGAGGCATTAGGTGCCATTTCATATTAAATTTAATAATTATAATATTTAATTACTGTACATTTGCGCAGATAAGATGATAGTTGAATCATAAAAAAAGGCCCCCAAAATCCAGGGTCATCTTATAGGACAGATACAAAAAAATTAAATTGAAATTTATATAAATTAAAACCATTATAAAATAAAACAAATCACTCACCAATGTATTTAAATAGCCCATACAACGTTTTTGTGAATAGTCAAGGTCATTACCCAAATGGCCGAATCAGTGCAAATGTTTGCAATAAATCACAAGGCAGTACTGTCAGATGCAAGAAAATAAAATTTGTTCATTCGAAAAATTATGAATAGGACATAATTCCGTATATGCTATACAGTATTATTATCCAGATAATGATCACTGATCTAAACTAAATTCATAAGCTATTGATAGTTTAGGGGTCGTCTTATAGGACAGATATATACTAAAACTATAAAACTTTGACGAAAATTTATACCTCATCTTATCTGTGCAGATATATGGTAATTAATTTAGAATAAACTGGAAGAAAAGAATCGGTCCAAAGCGGGACTCAAACCCGTAACTCCTACTTACTGTGTGGATGCATTGCCAGTTACGCTACCCAGACCTTCAGTCCAATCTTGTCTTCCAGTGTATATTCTCATCTTCCTGATGTATAACCATCGACAGTTAATACAGTGTCAACTGGGGACACACCCATGCCCTCGGCCAGAAACATCCACTCAAGGCACTCAGTCGGCCATCACATATCCCGGAAAGGCATAGATATACAAATATAAACATCTACCGAAACCCAATGCTTATAAATTAGGCTTATATACACTGGAATACAAGATTGTACCAAAGGTCTGGTAGCATAACTGGCAATGTGTCCACACAGTAAGCGGGCGTTGTGGGTTCAAGTCCCACTTCGGGTCAATTCTTTTCTTCCAGTTTATTCTAAATTAGTTAATTAAATATTACAATTATTAAATTTAATACAAGATGGCACCTAACACTTTCCTCTAGTGCCAAATTTATTTGTAATTCATAACTAATATTTCCAAATTATAGCCCGATTATTTATTGCAATTGTGGGTGTCTATTTGATAAGCATCAGGTTTTGGTAGATGTTTATATTTTATTTACAACACAAAATGCACCAATGAACTGACTAACTTCCTGGAAAAGATACAGATATATCAGACAGGCTAAAAAGTCTTACAACTATGGACAATCTCTACTTTGTGGTGTGTGCCATCTTCCCCTCTATCCATATCAAATCCTGTTTTTGTGAGCTAAGGGACTTTCTTATCATTACTATCAAAGGCTTTACACAGCATATCCAACCTATCTTGAAGCTCTTATGCTTCATGTGCCACTCTTCCTTTTTTTACCTACATCCAGAGAAGGGGCATACCCATGGGTAGCCCACTATCAGGAACATTCTATGAATTGATAATCCAAAAGCTGAAAAAAGTGGTCCTATCTGTCTTTAATAGTGAAATTATACTGTATGCTAGATACAAATGGATGAAATGGAGACAAAAACTTGATGTTACAAACTTCCTACAAAGAGTTAATAGTAACCCCTATTACCTTTCCTTGAAAGTTGAGCAGGAGAGCTTCTCACAAGTGAATTTCCTGAATATAAGATCATGTAAAACCAAGGACAACTAATGAGTGTTCTGTAAGGGTTCATATAGCCTGATTTTCATCCAATCACACTCACATGACATCTTTACCTACAAGGTAGCATTTAGGATCCTGGTTGATAGTCTTCATGCAACTGCTAAACTGAAAGAAATAGGGAGGAGGAGCTCAGATATATCATGGAATTAGTTAAACAGCATGGCTACAAACCTAAACTAATTAAACAACTGCTTTCATACCACGACATAGTGGTCGAGTGATCACACTTTGATGACAGGTCTTTAGTAATGTTTGCCTACAGCAGCAATTCTCAACTGGGAGTACACGCTTGGTAGTTTAAGAGTACGTGGAAAAAAATTAACAATAGTAAATGCACTGTAAGAATATTTGGATTCTGTGTTGAGGTCTTCAGCAACATCATGACACTGAATGCTTAATTTTTAAATAAAAATATATATAATTGTGCAGTGCTGTATAATTGACTAAAGCACAACTGTTTGAAGAACATGTGAAATAAAACTTAGGAAAATGGGCTGCCAAGGGATACACAAGTCAAAAAAACGTTGGAAACTGCTGGCCTTCACTTAGTCAGGATTGCCTATAAAAAAAACTCCCATGATCTTGATGCTTAGAAATGAGAAGAACCAAACTGAAAAAAGCCTCCTACCAAGTGTATACAGCATATCTGTGCAAGACCATAGACAAGCACTGCTCTTTTGAACATGTAGGTACTACAGCTAGGTACCTAAAGGCAAGGATTAAAGAACATGATTACAACCTTAGAAAGAAACATTCCTGCACTGCCCTTGCCACCTACACCTTGGACAGAGATATACAAGTGGACTTGAAGAATATGCATCTCCTATACCATGCTAGGCACCCACGCATGAGCTAAGATATCTAGAAAACCTTGAGATTTATAAAGCCATCCAAAAAGAAACAGCATTCAATTATAAAGAAAAGGACTCTGTCTGCATGGAGGGCATTATTCAAGATTCACAACCAGTGGCAGATTAACACACTAATAGTCATGCATATATGTTATTCATATTTATTTTTTAAATTAAAAGCATTCTTTTCCAGCTTCCACATTAATGTTCTAATACTATATTCTTTTAATCAAACCTGACAATGTCCATTGTATATAAATGAAAATGTTTGTTTACTTTACATAAACAAACATTTTCATTTGCTTTTGATTTTTGATTTTGCTGGTTGTTTGATGTGTTGTGTAACTCTACCTATAGTTCTAACCAGTATCTTTCCATTCTACCTTGAAATAGCTTAATTAATTTTATGACCGGCATGGATTACAGGCTTATTTATCACTTAACTTTCCTTTTTGGAAATCATCCCTCTCTTTGTTGACTAGCAGCTGGCCCTGCTTTGCCAATTTACCCAATCATCACTATGATTGTAAAATTATTGTATAATGTTCTTAGGAATGAATTCTTTCATGAGAAATATGTCTATGAAGAACTACCGTGTTTCCCCGAAAATAAGACATCCGCAGAAAATAATACCTAGCACAGATTTTGCTGAATTGCGAAATATAAGACCTCCCCCTGAAAGTAAGACCTAGCGAAGTTTTTTTTTAGTCGTAACGGTCATCGACAGATGGTTGAAAGTACAGCCACTGATTGGTCAGCAGACAATTACGCCACACGGCATGATTTGCATAAGACTATGGCTTGGGAATCACAGATTTGCATAATGTTATCGCTGGTGATCGCTAATTGGTCGGCTGGGAATCACGCCACATCACATTTGCATAGTGCTACGGTTCAGTAAGCACTAATTGGTCATTGAGCTCGATGTGGACACTATAAAAAGGTTAAGTTGAATGTGTCGCAAGGTGTTCTCTCGAACCTGTTTAGCGTATTGTTCAACAATAAATGTGAATTCGTCTTCATGGAAATATAAGACATCCCCCTGAAAATAAGACCTAGTGCATTTTTTAGAGCAAAAATTAATATAAGACACTGTCTTATTTTCGGGGAAACACGGTAGAAATTATTCACAAGATAGAATGTAATACTAAAAATATCAAAGCATGTAGAAAGTTTTCTTTGTCAAATGCTGTACAAATAACTAATATATCAAACAACTAATAAATGTTTACAATACTGATATTCTGAATCTAAAATATCAATATCAAAATTGTAAATATATATCAGTTTATTAGCACAGCACTAATAATATCTCAAACTTTATTATTTGAAAAACAATTTTTCTAAATAACTTAAACAACTTACTTCATATGTCTCACAATTAAAAAATGGCATTGGTTCTGTATTTTCGGGTATATTCCATGTGACATCACCACTTTCATCAAGAGTAAATTCTGTTCTGTAAAAAAATTAATTGTAAATGGATTTTTAACTTCTAAACTCAAATAATTGCATTTATTAATATATTGTATTTATTTTGTGACTTTATAATTACAAAATTATAATTGATTATTTTTTAAAAAAGATACTTCTGAATGAAGTGATTTCTGTACTTTATTAGCTAATCATTTATATACATACATATATATGTAGATGTTTAAATGGTCTTTTTTACTTCACTTACCCTTCAATTCCAGATGCCTCTATTCCCCAAGCTAATGACATACATTTTGTTATCTTTAAAAGAAAAAACTATTTTAAAAATATATTTAATATATTTAATAAACACTGGCACAGATTAAAAATGGAACACCTAAAAGCATTTATGCAAATTTATTCAAACTTACCTAACTTAATCACCACAATGAGAAGAAAATTTGATTAAGGTTTCAATATGCTAGATATTTTCAAACTGGAGAAACAATATTGCTTTTGATAAATTCTTAGATGGCTTGTTTACACAAAAAATGAAAAAAAATTCAAATTTTGAATTTTTTTTTATTTTTTGAATTAGTTGTCTTTGTTTTACATCAATAATGTCTTTGAGATGCAATAGTTAAACATTGCAGCAATATCCCAAATTTGAGAGGATGATTATGATTGTGGGTTGTTTGTAACTGAATGGTAAATAAGTCAAATTGCTAAATCTGCATTCAGGTGGTCAGTTACTATCCACTATCAAGCAGTATGTGACCAATGAATCAACAAAGACAAGAATATGGTACACATTGAAAAACTGCACCACATGAAGAACAGTAGATTGTTAGGATATCTTTGAATGCAAAAGTACTGCAATAGCAGCAAAAACAGAAGAAGCAGCAAACAAGTAGTAATAGACTATTGTCTACTGAACTTTATTCTAGTCCTAGGTGTTTGCCCTTAACTCAAAATTGACTCATAAAGACTTGAATGGTGTAGAGCTTGTTTTCAGTATAGTGGACAAATACTATTTAGTGTTGTTCAGCAATAAATCTCAATTTGAATAAAAATGATATGAATTAAAAGGGAAAATGAACAAATTGACTAATTGTTGAATATCATTTTTCTGTAACGCCTTATGTTATGGTTTGAAATTATGCCATCCTGTCAAAACTATTTTTTTCAATGACACAATGAATGCAAATATGTGGAATTATATGGTAAATCCAGTATTTATACACTTTATGTTCACTGTTGAAAATGGCATATTTCACCAACACAAAATCCACTCACACCTCTTAGCAGAATCATAAAATGATCTTAAAGCAATTGAGACAATGGACTGCTAGTCAGCTTCCCAGATATTTCTCTATTTGAACACATATAGGACATTCTTTAAGACATTAGATAATTTTTTTGACAATACCAAATTGCATTATAGTGTGCATGCATTACTACTAAAGACGGTCACATTCACTATTTATTTCAATATATATCTTTAATAACGCTAACTTTTTCATGATGTAAATATAATCATTTTATCAGTATGCAGCTGTCTCTACACAGGTCAAATTTCACTTCACTTAAAATAAAGGGGTGTTGATGTTTTACATTTTTAATTTGCACCAGTGTATATCATTTTTAATATATAATTCAATTTGCAATTTTATTTAGTTCAAAAAACTTTATTTAATTACAACAGTTTTAATTTGTTAATGAATAAAACAAATAAAAAATATTTGTATTTTACATCCGTTAAGTCTGTTTAATTACTTTATGTACAGTGAACTTTATGTAATTTGTCCAAATTCAAGCAAAAATTAGATTAAATGCATGCATAATCATTCAGTGATCTAATCTAAATAATAAGTGTAACATTTTGTAATTTAGTTACACGTAATATAAAGTTAAGTCAAACTGTAACAACTATCAATGCTTTATTCACATAAGAAAAACCTAGGTACAGACAACAGCTACTACCACAAGGTACAATCCAAAACTGGTTTTCGAAGTAAGTAAACAAAGGATCTCATACAAGGTACACCTCGAAGATGATGTACACAAAATCTGTAATATATATTCAATACTTCTAAAAATATTATCAGGCACTATAACATCAGGTTCAACTATTTCTACTCGGCATACAAGTTTGAGTTTTTCACAGGTATCTTTGCCTAGCAACAGAGAATATTCCCCTTCCATTACTATAAACTTTATCTTGGCACTACAACTTTTCACAACAAAATTATCAACACATTTGCCAAGCACTGGGGTGTGTGTGTGTGGTTGAAGGAACAAATATGACATAAATGCTGGGGATTACTTTTATCTTAAGATATTGAACTAAGGACAATGGCACAATGTCACCATCTGCTCCAGTATCTAATTTGAATGCTGCTGAGATACCACCAACAAATTTTACGGGAACATGCCAGGATTGGGATGCACTAGGATGTATGCATGGACAGACACTCAAATTTCAACTTGAGATGCAACAAAATACATAAGAACAGATAAACGATTCAAGGACTTTTAATAATAGTGAATCTCCATTGACAAGCTCAGATCCCAATCAACTTTGCAAACAGAAAATTAAGACTGTTACAACATAATACTCAGAGGAGCAAGTCAGCATGCTCGCTCCTCATTAAACCCGCAAATGACTTAGATGTCGATATAATTATAATACAAGAACTATATAGAATAGACCACAAAATCATCAGGTTTGGAAATGGCATCCTAGCAAAACAAGGACAAAATTGACCAAAACAGCAGATTTATCATTCAAAATGACAACATTGATGTCACATAATTCCATATCTCTCAAAGGAACATGTTACAACAGTGGTCATACAAGATTCACAAATATTTATTGTTAGCATGTACTTTTCACAGTATGTAGGAGTATTATCATTTAAAACATCAAGAAAACATTGAAAACATATAAAAAAGAAATAAATCATACTCAATCTAAGAAATGGGGAGAGATCAGTGGAAAGACACAGAAAAGACCTATTGGACGTCCTCTTCCATATGGCTTTTGGACAGAAAAGAAAGACAGACATATCCAACATAATTAACTGGAACAACAGTAATTCAGTTCTGAACATTATTAATTAATAACATGAAAAAAGTTATTGAATTCTACTTCTCACCATACAACCTATACAACAATTCACAGAGAAACTATGGAAGAAGTAAACAGATGCACATCACAATCAAAGGACATTCCATTAACCTTTTCTGAAGTAGAAAAAGACGGATGCGATCGTTTAGGCAGGCAACTAACAGCCGACTCAGAACTGGCACAGACCGGGGGAATCCAACTGTCTAATTAAAGCAATCCGATTATTGTCAAATAAAAAATCACTGGGGTGGAAGAATTCCTAGTGATGAAATTTAACATGATTTCAATATATATTGACTAGAAGCAGGCCAACAACTTATCTACTAAAACCAATTTAGTTGGAATTCAGTAATCTGACATTTAGCAGATACATTAATACAGCTGAAATGCTGAAAGAGACATTTAAAGAGGTGCCGATTGCATATGTTCATCTTCTTTCTGAGTGTCTCCCCTTTAAATATTTCCTAAAAGATTGAAAGATGGCTAACATCAAATTTATCCCCAAAAAGGATAACACATACTGACCAGAAGATTTTAGGCCAATTAGCATCCTCCCCATTATGGGAAGAGTCCTTGACAGACTCATAATAAACAGAGTCAACTGGCACCTCCATGAAGAAAAAAGAATGAACAAAAATCAACTAGAATTTCAATCTTGGAAGTCAATAATACATAAGCACTTGGAGTTAAAGAATTCATATATGGAGCTGAAGAAGAAGGAAAGCACACTATGCTTATTTTGGTTGATCTCAAGAAGGCATTTTGTCTCAAGGTAGCAGTGTTTTTCAGTGTCTTAACGAAACCAGATACCCAAGAAACCTTCAAACAATAATTAAAAGTTACCTGATAGACAGGACAGCTAGATTTTATACTAACAATATACAGATAAAAAAAAACATTACAAGAGGATGCCCAGAGGGCTCTAGGAGTGGGCCAAGCATGTGACACCTTGTTTTCAACAGAATGTTGAAGGCCTTTCAGTGCAATGAAAATAAAAAAATACAAGCATTTGCAGATGATGTATTATTAATGATTGCCAACCAAACTGTGATAAATTAGCAGAGGAAGCAAATGAGGCCCTCAAAGTCATTTCAGACTGGAGCTACAAGCATAATATAATTATAAACTACAATAAGTATGAGGCACTTGTGTGCACAAGGAAAAGGAGCATGGGGCAAGTTGATATTCAAGAAAAAGGGCAGTTCATATTCACCTAAATGGATACAAAAATTAAAAACATGCAACAAATGAAATATTTAGGAAATGACATTTGACAGAAGCGTTAAATGGCAAGCAAACACAAATGAGCAATTATTTATTGTGACATTGTCACAATGCCAGACTGCAATTTTTAATCATATTTTTAATTTATTTCATTTAAAATATAAAATACGTATGCTTTCCACCTCAAATTAGTAGTGACTTGTCCCTGTATATCATACTTTTCCTTTAACAATAGAGTTGTGCCAGTCATCTATCTAACACTTTTCAAGGGAAAATTTTTGAATTGAAATATTGTCTGACTTCTGGTTTGCATCAGAAATTTGTATATAGTTAATCAGGGCTCCTGTTCCTGCTCCTGACCAAGATCTGAGTTAGTGGGATTTTACTATATATATTAATTAAAATATACAGAGTAATTCAAGATGGTTGTAAGAAACTTCACCAATGAATTTCCCACCACAAAATGTTACAAAAATATATAATCAACAGGAGTCATAATATCACACATTTTCAAAATATTAGTCTGCAAAGATACCATCAGTCCCAAACCAACATGCCTTAACAAAGAGACAAAAAGGTAATGTGTATGCATGAAACATAACTTTATTCCTTACAGTGTGCAAGTTAATGAATGTACATGTGTTTCAGTGGTGTGCAGTGACATTTGATGTAAGGAAGCAGTGCTGGCTATGGATAGAATCATTGGAAGTGTTATATGATATTTTGGTATGTAGCATCCATGAGCTAAACTGCATGAGGTTGGCATGTGCTTTGTAAGCACATGTGCAAATGCCTGTAATCTGGCTGCTTTACATGATTTAAATATTTTCGCCGTAGAAGCTATCTTGTATTTGACAATACAGCACTTCCATTAAGAATTGCATATACGAATTTATATTCGAATATACAATAGCAATTTTATCATTGTTTTCACATGTATAGAAATTTGTAATAAAATAAATAATGCAGTTATAATAAAATATTAATTTTAATTAATTCAAAGTATGTTAAAATNTGCTGTTATCATTTCGGCTATCCGGTTGTCGACTCAGCATGTTAACATTGATTAGGATCGCATCTTTACGTAAGCTGTATCAAAGAGCAGCAGGGCTGTTTGGCCTGTTCCCCGATCTACGAAATCCTAAAAAATATTTATTACAAATTATTCATTTCATGCAACAGATTTTTAATTTTCCCATTATCGAAGTTAATTCAAGTTAAGTTTAATTAATTCAAAGTACATTAAAATACAAAAATAATTGCACAATATGTATTTATATTTTAGAAAACACAAGGGAAGTGGCGATTTTGTGCTTCCACAGCTTCCATGGACGGCACGCCACTGATGTGTTTGGTATCACAATCCATTGATTATACATTTTCACATTTTGTGATGTGGAATTCATTG